TTATTTGTTCAGGTACTAAGAAGCTTATTTTTTTTCCAGTCATTGTGAAAGTATTTGTGATCACTAAAATATTGTGCTGTTAGGTTGTAAACATATGTTGTATATACATAAATACATATTTGGTCAATAAGTTGTTTGTATTCCCTTTTTTTTGTCTTTGTAACGGTTGTTCACTGTTGATAGTATCCTTTTGTGCACATTTATGTAAAAATTTAATTAAAATTTAAATATTTTATCGACTCTAGTGCGGTGGATGTGACAACTTATATTTACTTTACAATCTTCACTCCTCTTGTGTACTGGACATTCCTGGCAGGGTTTTTCAGGTAATTCAAATGTTTTTTATTAAAATTCTATTCTTGTACCATTTTGTGGCATGATCCTACACATTATTTATGTAGTGAATCTGCTTCATGAGTTTTAATTATATTTTAATTACTGATCTCAGTATTGTCACATTAGACCAGTTTTATTGCGAAAAATATAGCAGGAGGAATGCAAATTTAAAAACAATATATTTCATAATAAATTACTTGTAGTGTTAATTGTAGCATTAGTTGAATTAATAAACTGAAATTATCCACATTCTAAATATGGCTTTTGGAATGATATTGTATATACACAGTTTCTAGGGTTTTGATAAGCTAGATTTGTATTCTTGATTATGTATATCAATATCTCGGTAATGATAAAAATTGGAAAAACAGATTTCAGCAGAGTATGTTTTTAGACTTAGTTGTTGAATAGATAAATACCTAAATCAAAAGTTTAGCCCAATGAAGTCATGTTCATGAGTTTCTAGTTAGCAATATTTTCATAACTACTTAAGCTATTTTTCAAGCCTATTCAATGTTAGAAGTAAGTAATTATAACATTTATTTACCATTAGGCTCAACAAACAAGATATTTTACATCACATAAAGAATTTCTAGGATCAAAAATACATAATACTTTTTTCTATATCTGTTAAATCAACTGTTAAGATGTAATATCCGTATCAAACTTCAGCTGCTTTTTATTAAACCTGTAAAATTGAAAAATAACTTTTGAGTTAATAATGTTTACCTAGTAAAATGATTCCAAGAATAGAACTGAGAGTTAGCTATTAAAATATTTTTTACATTGTGTAATCCCATTTTATGCATGTTACTGTTGTTCTTTCTCATGATTAATAACTCTTACTTTAAAGTATTTACTAGAAAAATCAACCATTTTATAAATCTAATTTTACTGTAACGTTCAGTACTAGATCTAAATTAACTTTGTTGCATGAAATGTCGTTTTTTACATTTGGATATGTAATACCTTTTTATTGTCATATAAAAATATTAAAATGCTTTATGTTTTTCTTCCCTGTGATAGTGTGTCACAGCCCAGTATTTTATTCTCCTACAAATCTCAGGTGGATGATGTGGTTGAAGATGATAATGTCAGCTTACCACATCAGCTTTCATGTTCCTCACTAAAGACAGATTCAGATTACATCTACCAGGTAACAATTGTTAGCCGACTAAATCAAACATATACCTCATTTGTGGGGTACCCAGTTTTAAATATTGTCATGCACTTCTATGTTTTTCTTGGGAAATCATAACTTTCAAGTAGCTTGCGATAATGTTTGGTAACTTGTACAAAAAAATAATGACCTAATTGTGCATTTTTGTTGTGTAGTGTCTATGCCTTCTGGAATTCATGTATATATATATTAGTGCAGTAAACTTGTGAGTTTATTCTTCATACAGAAAATTGTTTCTCCAAAATCTGTGTACTGATGGTATTGAAAACAAAGTCAAAATGCATGACAAAACTAAATGTCACACTGTAATTTAAAATTAATATAAAGATTTAATTATAAATCTGAGTGACAAGGAATAATATTCCCAAATACACAACTTGGGTTAATGGTGTTACATAATTGAATGATATTGCCAAGTGAATGTTCTTGGTTAAAGATGCTATAAATCTGAGCACCAATAAATTGTATTCAAAGTGGGTGTTCTGGTTAAAAATATTATAAATCAGAGTGACAATAAATTGTATTCAGACTGGGTGTTCTGGTTAAAGATATTATAAATCAGAGTGACAATAAATTGTATTCAGAGTGGGTGGTCTTGATTAATGATATTATGAAGCTGAGTGACGGGGGAATAATATTCCTCAGTGGGTGTTCTTGGTTAAAGATGTTAGAAAACTAAGTAACAAGGAATGATATTCCTAGCTGGATGTTCTGGGTTAATCTTTGTGGCACAAGAAGCCATATTTAAAAAATATCAAAAGATGTTTATATTGCATTATTAAACAAAGTATGAGAATTATAAACAGGTGATTGCATGCTTTATATGAATTATTTCATTGCAGAACAACTCACTGTATGACAGCACCCAGTTTGATGCAGCCAATGTTAATCCTTTGTACATCCATTCCCTCCAGTCTCCAGATAGCTTCACAGGAATCGATGATAATGTCGGTATGGGAACCATCAACAGCTCACCACCATAGAACTACTGTCAGCAACCCTCTCAGTTACACCAGGCAGCTGTGTGGAAAGGGGCAACAAATGACATTGCCCCTCAGTGATGTGAAAAATTCAGGAATAGCTTTGTAAATATACCAAAAGTTTTAGCCTTTGTTGTTAGTTGTGATGCTCAGACTGGCAAAGATCTCTGCTTGAGGAGCTCATATTTGATTGTGCAATGTGCATTTGCAAAGACCTGCCGAATAGCTTTGTTATTGTCTGATTAGCTTGCAAATTACCCTTTCTGATATACAGATACACATGTATGTTTATAAAGAAATAATTTTTGTGGTCAAGTTTGATAAACACATGAATGTATATATCTAAGTTGTCTCTTTGTGCTTATACGTAGATCAGGAACATATAAGTTTATTTACTGTGGCAATATTTCTACAAGAACATGTCAAGTAATGACAATGTCTTATTGTTTTGGTGGAAACTTTTAATATTTGTAATTATTGCTCTAACTTATTTAGACCTTTACCTGTGAAACTAGTGAGTAAAATGTTACATATGTCATAAATTGTTTGTTATGAAAAATGTTTTTTTAACGTCACATTTTTTAGTAGAGTATGATGGTTAGATGTAATATATATATATATATATATAGTGCTTATTTCAATAAATCTCATTATTTTGTTTATCAGAAAGAAAACCTCAAAATATGAAATTGATATAGTTTTGTCTAAATTATATTTAAAAAGACTGAAAAGTTTGCTGAATCGTCATCATTAGTTGTGGTTTGTGTTACAGTTTGTAAAATATTAAAGCTGTTTCACAGGAAAGTTAAAGGAACCTTAGTTGTACTGATCAAATACATAGATAAGACTTTTCAATAGATATTTCTCATACAGTACTTTACAAAATAATCATGACATTGCGTGACTTGGAAGGGCATTTTAATACAACTTTTGTCTTGCGTTGGCAATAGATTTTTCTCATTAATTATGTCTTACTTTACTCTTGTACTGTTTTTGTGTACCAGCTTTTTTTGTCATGTTATTGTTATTTAAAAAAATTATCCATAAATGAATGGTTGAGCTCCTGGCAAACCAAGGACCATCCAGATGTGGAAGGGGTGTGAGAACCCCACTACATTATCTCTCCCATGAAACCAATATGAGTCATAACTGGAACTACAAAGATAACATGGCATTAAAAGGTAAGACCTGCAGGCCCAAAAATGCAATAATTAGATCAGGGCCATCTAATAGACACTTTAGTCTGGATGTATGAGGGAAGAAAAATGGAGAAATCAGTCCAAGAAAGTAACTAAATATTACAATAATAAGTATGACTGTAGAGAAGTTACATCTAGTGACAGATGAGATGGAGAGGTACAAAGTACATGTTTTTGGAGCAACAGGAGTAAATGGAAAGGTTAAAGCCTCTTAAAAACTGATAATAAATATGCCATCATAAGTTCCAGAAATGATCAAACCAGAAACAATAGATCTGCTTTATTACTGTCCAGAGAAACACCACTTTCATTTTACATTTTCTAGCAACAATGGAAGACAAGTGTATTACAGAAAAGACTATCCTTGTGGGAGTGATTAACAATTCCACGTAAAGGTTAATATCAAGTTAAAAGACCAAAAGGAGGAACAACCAACAATGTTATTTAACTTTAAGAAACAAACACTGTTGAATGTTGTTTAGCTCTCAGAAGTAGGTTTGCAGCATTCAAGGAAATTGAGGAGAAAAATAAGAATTTGTACACTTTGGATATTGGAGAAAACATTGAAAAATAAGGAAAGAATCTAAAGCAAATAAGAAGAAAAATTAACAACAGTATAGACAGCTCAGTGGAGATTTTAATAGAAGTCGTCATAAAGACAAGAAAGAAGATACTATGTGAAAGGTCAATGAAATGGAAGAGCACGAAAAAAAAAAACTAACTAAGCAGATGTATGAAGTTTCAAGATTGCTAACATTTAAGTTTAGCCCAAGATTAAATGTGATAAAAAATATAGACAAGAAACTAGTGACAAAGGATGAAGATGGAAAGAGTTCTGTAAGGATTTCTATAAATCACCAGCCATAGAAATAGAAGAGTTAATGAATGAAATGAATTGCACCAATGCCTGGTGCTAAAAGAACCAACACCATTAAATGAAGTAAGAAAGGTGATGGAACAACTGAAGTGTGAAGGCACTAGGCACTGATGAGATACCAGCTAAGTTATTGAAAGCATCTGGAGAAACAAAAATTGATATAATGCACAAACTTATAAACAGGATATGGGAAATGAATAAATGATACTAAGGTTGGAGGTGAAAAGTATTAGTGCTAATAACAAAACTAAGGACTTAAAAATTATCGTAAACTGTAAATTAATTGTTTAAGTTTGCATACAAGTAAAACCTTACTAAAATATTGATATATTGAATCGTAAGTTAAATGAGGGAATAAATAACAAAAGAGCAACAGATTTTGAGGAGGGAAAGAGAACTAGGGACCAATGTGTGAACCTGATGATGGTCATAAGACAAATGTGAAAAATATGCAAAATGATCATACCCATGTTTTATAGATTACACCAAAACATTATGTTCTGTCAATACAAGAAGATGTGGTGGAAAATGGAAGAATGAGATTTCCCAGACATATTAGTTTTATTAGCAAATTATACAAAGGAAATGAGTCAATGGTAAGAACTGGCAATGAGATTAAAATTGGAAAAGTAGTTTGTGAAGGATGTGTTCTGTCACCTAATCATTTTAACACATGTGTGAAAGATATTCTGAGGGAACTGTTACAAGAGTTTGGAGAAGGAATAAAACTGGACTGAAGATTAATAACTGACTTGTATTATGTGGATGACACAATTCTGATGTTTCAGCAAAACGAACATCTAAGAAGACTGGTGGAAAGAATGGATGATAAAAGTGCTAAGAAATGTTTAATGCTAAACGTAAAGGACACTGAGATTAAGGTGACTGATGATAATCTGAGAAAGATAGAAGTAAATGGGGAAGAAGAAGTGGAACAATTAGAATATTTAAGATCCATGAATAACATCAAAGGAAATTGTTCTGTTGTGATTAATAGAATGTTAAGGGTGAGAAAGAGCATGGTTGAGATAATGATTGTGTGCAAAGATTGGCTCTTACCAATAAGATAAAAGTTTTGCTTGCATAGATCAGTTCTTTTTCCAAATGGTTGCAAATGTTGGAAGCTAAGGAATAATGATGAAAGGAAAATAAAAAGTTTTGAATAGTGATTTTACAGGAGAGTGCTGAGAATATGTTGAACTGAGATAAAAATGAAATAGGTGCTGGAAAACTATAGATAAGGAACTCACATTTTGAGCACTTTGCAAGAAGAAGCAGGACATGCCCTGAAAAAAATGTTGAGGAAGGAAAAGTTGGTAAATACAGAGAATCAGTAATAAGAAACATAAATGTCATTGGTGGAAGCTGTAAAAGGGCAAGGCAATTAGAGATGATTTATGGCAGCCACTATGGTTCCGACAAGGATTTTATATATATATATATTGTTATTTAAACACTTATTGAAAAAGAAAACCTTTATGTTAAATTTAGTAAAAAGAACTAGTTCATGGAATGATAACTCTCAATTTGACTGATGTTCATTTTAGCTCTGAAATTATTATTATTACCTGTTGGTGTGCATGTGTTGCAAACAACATCATGTTTCTGTAGTGTAAAACTGTATTTGTGAAGATTATAGCCCTAAAGACCGACAACTTAGGTATAGTTTAGGTTGCTGAATGTTATATATAAACTTAATCTATAATATTTTGGTCCACTCTGTCAAATATACAAATTACATACAAAAAAGAAGTGTATCTTTCTTAGGGTCATTGTCAAAAGAAGTAAAGTTATTTCTTAACACACACTTATTAGTACTTATAACAGAAAAACAACAAGAATTGTACTTATCATTCATTTGAATGTGTTAACTTATAGGTGAAGAAAGAATTACTGTTCTCATTTAAACTGAATAGTGGAAGGTAAATTTGTTGAACATGCACATTTATTTTTATATTATAATTATCAATACAGTGTAACTTATGTTATATCTGTAGTGTAGGTAAGTAACACTATGTTCTACTAATCTAATTCATTTTTGTTTCTTATTTCTATTTGAAATGATTGGAACGATTAGAAATATAGTTAATAAAGTATTTAAACTTTGCAGAAATATCTCAATATTATCAAAATTAAAATTTTTCTTAACTGCACCTTTTGCTAGTGTTTTAGTAGTTAAAGTTCACTAGTAACAGTACCCATCTCCTGCTGAGTTTTGTTACTTGTATTTTTCTTTGTAGTTAAATAACTCAACATTAATGGTACCTAACCCATACTGAGTTTGTTGCTAGTGTTTTGGTGATTAAACATCTCACTAGTGACAGTATCTATCTCCTACTGAGTTTTGTTACTAGTGTTTTGTGGCTAAACATCTCACTAGTGACAGTATCTATCTCTTACTGAGTTTTGTTGCTAGTGTTTTGTTGGCTAAACATCTCACTAGTGACAGTATCTATCTCTTACTGAGTTTTGTTGTTAGTGTTTTGGTGGTTAAACATCTCTCTAGTGACAGTATGTATCTCCTACTGATTTTTGTTGCTAGTGTTTAGCTTCCATTAATCAGGATAAGCTAATATATATTTATTGTTACAACAATTATCATCAAGATGGGTACAGATCATTGATCCACAGGATAGGAATACATCTTTAGTGTTTTACAATTTAGGATTATAAGGATAGGCATACATCTTTAGTGTTTTACAATTTAGGATTATAAGGATAGGCATACATCTTTAGTGTTACTTAATTTAGAATCTTCCAGATGGGTACAAGTCTTCAGTGTTAGGATCATCAGGATAGGTACACATCTTCAATGATACACAGTTTCTGATCACCTGAATGTGTACACACATTATAACCATCAGCGATGTTGAATATCAAAGATGCGATAGCTGTTTAATATAGACAACTGAGTTTTTGTTAACCAAGAACAGTCTCATGAATGTAACTGAACCTGTTCATAAGAATGGTGGACTTTGTAAACACAGTAAGTACATGTAATGTATGCTAAACTTTCTTGTATTTAATATTAGATATTTCATATACTGATTAACTACTGAGTCCAAACACTAAAAAAAAATGCAAGTTTTAAGGAAAAATCTGTATTTTAAACTCAAAATATTGCTGCAAAGTTTTTGATACTGCAATCATAATGTAACCATAATTATCTAATATAGATCAGACAAAAAATATAACAATTTTGCACAATTTTTTATTTGGAGTAATAATTTAGACTTCATTTAGAGCATTATCAAAACTGACATGGTAAACTCTGTTGTTACCCACAAAGTAATGTATTTCTTGACGAAAATTTTACAGATGGGTGTAGAAATTAAAATTTATTATTAGTCAAATATAAATTATTTCTGTATATATATATATATTTGGGTTTGTGAAACCACAATTTGCTTTATATTTTTTGAAAATGGGACCTTTAAAACGCTTTATTTTTGCAGTGGCCAGTAGGAAGGCCTGTCACAGCATTTGCTATGAGTAGAACACTTTTTTCAAAGAAAATTAGATAATTAATCCTTAAGACAATTGTTTATTCAACTAAAGATAATCTTTAAAACAGGATCTGTGAAAGAAGTATGAAACTGTTGTTCTTTAATGTACGTAGCTATGTTGCTATGAATTAATTTTATTAATTTGAATTCATTGAGTTTTGTAATTTTTTTATATTTATTTTATTAACTATCAATTTATGTTATTTATTTCACTTATTGTGCATATTAAAAATGATGAAGAAAATAGTTATCTCAAAAATCTCTTCAAATGAAAAGAACCATGAGAGATCTAATTCGGTAACAATTTTTTGTTCTCATATCTAATATGAAAATTTTACTGGTTATTAACCAGGTGTTGTACATTTAGACACTTTGTATAGTTATTTGTTTGCTTCTTAAAAAAAATATTCTTTATGAAAGACTTCAATGTAAAAAAATCTCAATGGGCTTCTTAATTTATTTTTTTATTCTGCTTCAAGAAGAAAACTTGATTATGTAAGTTGTTTTTATATCAGTGAAATGAAAGTATGGTTTGAATTTTATGTGACATTTGTCAGTGGAAAAATATTGTATATTTGTTTTCCAAATTACTTCATTAAGTACTGATATTTGCAGAGTTGTGGAAAGGGAAAAAAGTCACAGTTATGTATGCTTTGCATATGAGTAGTTTCAAAAAGTTTGGATTGTTGATTAGGTTAATTAAACTTGAATGAGATTCCTGAACCATCAATATTTTCTAAGATAAATTTGCAATTAACATCAAGATTTATAAATGTAGAAAGCTACTAATTGTTATTATTATCGAAAATACTGTCCAATTATTTTGTATTGTTAGAGGTATGTTTTACCATTTCCATTTAATTTATTGTTAATAATTGTTAAAAATACGTTTTTTTTTTGAATTTTTGCATTTATTTGATGATGGTGGTGGGAAGCAAACTTTTCTGGAAGAATACAGGGATTTTCATTTCTCTATAATCCAGTTGCTTAGTAGTTATTCATGGTAAATAGGAGAAAAATTTCTTTTTTTTTTCATATATTCAACAAAACAAATTAAAAATGTTTGTTTTATATTTATTAACTTGTTGAAAATGCATATGTAAATGAATTCTGTAACTTAGTTTCTACTTGTTATATGTAAACTGTAACACAATAATAAAACAATATGCTTTTCTTTGTAAACTGACATTATTTGAGGATGTAAAGAAATACAAGACTTTCAAATAAATCATGATGTTTACTAGACTATCTTGTGTTTCAGGAGATTCTCATTCATATAATTACAGCAGTACAATTCTCATTTTGAAGGTGTAATATATTGAAGAAAAGTTTTTGTGCTAATCATTTATACTGGGACCCACTGACAACTCTTAGTAGGATAAGATGTTTGCTTTGTATCTAAACAATCTAATGTGTGGTAGGCACAGCTTTTGAAATAAGCTTTTGTTTGAAGATTAACATTGCTTCATTTTGAAAAACCTAGTGTGGTATTTATTCCAAGATTAAAAGAGGCACACAGTAACTAGATCTTCCGAACGTTGTACAGGATGGTACCTGCATTAGCTACCTCAGTACTGTGGTACAGGACAGTACCTGCATTAAGTACCTCCATACTTAATGTGTAAATGTTTTTAAAATTCTGTTTTCTTTCAACTTAGTTTTAATGTCAAAATTTGCTAAACTTCACTTACTTGGATGCACACAAGACTCAGATCCATTAATTGGCCATTATGCTTGTTTTCTTACAAGGAAGAAAGCTGTTACTTCACCATGACTTCTTGATATAGAAGGCTTTCTTTTCTGTCAGGTAAGGGCCCAGGACTTTACATGCTTCAACATGCATGGCTGTAGGTCACATATTATAGGAGTGTGTTATGAGCAACTTGGGTTTGCTTGTATCATTGTGTTTAGTATTTAAAGCCTGGTTCTTCCCTGTTAAGCAGGGATTTTCATAGGGTTTAGAAGTTTTCATTCAGATTTAGATCTTAATGAGGCTTAACTTCAGGATTTCTTAAAGTAGTAATTTTTGTTCAGGTTAATGTTTTTGAGTTTAACTTTCAGAGTTTGTTTTAGTGTTAATTGTTTCTTTTTTTATTTTAGCTTACTGGGGAGGAGGTTACACTGGACTGGTAGGAGAGTATATTTTAAAGGTTTCTCTACACTTCTCTTACGAGTTCAGTATACTCATTATAAACACTGTATTTTATCTATAAAGATTGTTGTGATATACATCTTGTGTATTGCTTCTTTCTTTGTTGACAAACTCCGGTACATTTTGGACGGGTTCACAGCCCGTAACTCGTACTCTGAAGCATTGTATTTTATGAAACTCCAGTGAGCGCTCTTATAACTCCCGCCTTTTTAAAAAATATTTTCAGGAATGATTTAATTTCATCATATAATTACAGTTTTGTTCTTTCTCTAGAGAATTCGTATAACTTATGGTGTGTTGTCATACGTTCAGTAAAACGTTTCTTTCTTAATTTATCGTGAAATATACATCTTTAAGAGAACCTTGAGTTCGGATCAAGTCTTTAACTGTAAACTATATCAAAGATAATTAACGATTTCAATCAGACTATTTCAAAGCTATTAATGATTCAGTAAAATTTGAACATCCAATTAGTTTTGCGATGAGAAAAACGTATATAAGCTTGACTTTGTTAAAATATTTTACGTCGAAATCGTGTGATTTTCTTACACTTATTATAACTGGATAAACTGGTTTGTCCAAGTAATTCTTGAAAGTATCTGATTTTGATAACCTGGCAATAAATAA